GTGGTAAAGGTGCGCATGATGTCTTTCTGTACTGTGTAGTATGTCCTATGTAGAGAGACTCTGAGAGCCCGATCAGACTAATGTGCCCCAATCCTCTCTCTACGAGAACTGGAGGATAGTGGGCCAATCACAGTTTGCCACATCAGCCTGATACGTGGGCTCTACAGTGTGCTGTAGTGGCTTGTGATCAGCTCAGTATTACACGAGTAGAACTAAATGGTGCTCCTCCCCGTCTCATTGGTGGGGACGACAAAAAGCAAAAGAGGATTAGCAGAGTTGAGGGTTCTAAGAAGTAGGAGGAATGAATGGAATGGTAGCACTACGCCACCACCACCGAGAGAGAGTCATCAGCTCAAAACCAACCAAATTGCTCTCAGATTTTCAGGTGATTGAGTGGTTCCTCCAAAAGCATAACTCTGTTACGTAAGTCAATTAAGTACCACCCACTAACTTTTTGCAGCACGGCTTGGTTCATCGAGTATGTACGTTTTCTGATTAACCCCAAGGCCGAAGCTTTCTATCCGTTCTTCCCATCTCTGTAGCTTGAAATCTTCTAAACTAATAAGTTTGATTGCATGTGTACATGGAGGATCGGATGATTGTTTGAGAAAGAAAAAGGTTTCATTTATTCAACCATTTGAAAGGTCCAATCTTCTCATCTCAGTGATTGCACAGTTAAGATGAAATTGAAAAAAGTATCAATGTGAAACGTAAAATAGATTCTGGGACCTGGGTGGTCTCAATTCTCAAATACCTCCAAATTCACTTTGGGCAGATAAAGTATACATCTTGAGATTTTTGGATTTGAAGGAACATGACGAAGTCGATGCCAGGCACTGAGTCACTGATATACAACACTTTTGGGCGATGGTGGTGTAGGTCCGTCCATATATATACCGTCTCTACGCATATTGATATTCCTTTTAATATTCATATTGTTCCATTAATTGATAAAGTGGTGATAGAGGACACAACCAGTTGGGGCAGTTCCAAGCACTGGAGCCATTGATTACGTACGTATCTTGGAATAAAGGGCCATATTGGGAGGGGTGGACTGGACTGGATACGGAACTAACCCTTGGCATTTTTTTCTTCACAGTCTTGAATCCATGTTCTCACGCTTGTCAGTTCAAGAGGTAGAGGTTTTACCACTTTTGCAAGCAATGGCCCCTCATATTGTGGCCAGGCCAGCTGATAATAGCACTAAACCCAATTCTAGTTTGGACAGGGCCCCATTTTCTAATAACTTTAATTTAATTTCCACCTCCCTTCCCCCTCTGCATGTTGCATGCAATCTCAATGTGTGCATGCGCTCTGGGGATGGATACACCCATCATGAGTAGAAATTTGTTTTTTAGAAAACGCCGAAAAATGTTTTCTCAGATATAGTATGAGAAAACACCCTTTTTGATGTTTTCCTGCCTTTTCTACTATTGCTATTGCTAGCATTGTTAAAAACGGTACCAAATAGGAATCTAGAGAAAACAGAATGTTTATGCAACACTGCCTCTCGAAAACGGTATTGATCCCAAACACATCGTGCTGATTCTAAACTTGTACGAAAATTATAAGACAGATTGTTGATTCGGATAGTTTTGTTCCTATACAAAAGCATTTAATAATACCGGAGAGAAGAGGAAAGCCGGAGCCATGCCAAGAACCCTGTAGCTTGCCTTGCGAGTTGCGACAACTTGTACCTGTGCTAAACCTGCCTCAATCATTCCTCCGGCCTTTGGGCTCGTGCTCAGTATCAAGGAGTTGGGATCACCTGCCAAGTAAAGATGTTCCAACACCCTCCCATTATAAATAAATATGATCTGAAACCGCATATCTCATATATATAACGGGTCTCACTTAATGATAGATTTCAGTGTCAAATTGAGATGTGCGGTGTTAGATGATGTTAAGAGAGTGTTGAAATGTTTTTTTGTTGCTAGGTGATCCGAACTCACTACTAAATACCAATAGAGTTGAGACATTTATAAATTATATATACTCAGAATGCCCTGGACAGTTTAGTGGGCGTTTGGTACGGCTGCCTTTGAGGTTAAGGCGTTTCAATCTCAAAGTGACCATTGCAACTATACACCTGTTTGGTTGTAAAAACCGCCGATTAGACAGTTTTTGTATTGTAATACAAATTGACTGGTAAACCTCGTTGGTTGGCTTTCTCAAACAGACTTGTTCAAGTAATACACCTTTCACCGTAAACAGGACGGATCTATTAGGCACAACATTATAAGTATGAATGAGCATACAATAAATATTCAAGTTGATTTTAATCTTTTTGAAGGGTTGGTTGGGGGTGTTTTTCTTAAGGAAAGATGTGAGGAAACTTTTAAATACTTACTTAACATGCTCAAAATGTGTGCCTAGACCTGTTCATGGGCTGGGCGGGGCCGGGTTTTGCTTTTTTATCAACAGAAAATGTACAAGTCTGGCCCAATTATCAGGCCTAGGTCTTGAGTCTGAGCCCGGTCTTTATATAAAGTCTAACCTGTATACAAAATGTCTTATTTTTAGTGTACTTTTATATTATAATAATTTAATAAATTAATAAAATAATTTGTATTTTCTAATAGTAAACTAATATTTATTAATATTTTAAGACATAAATATATATTATATATAACATAAATGATTTTTTATTATATGTAATAGTATCGAGCCGAACTTTTTTTTAAGGCTAAAATTATATTTCATTCATTCAAGAAATTGATACAATTACATAGAATTTGCCAATAAGGTCAATCAGAACCCAAATACAATTTCTCAAGAAGAACAAAATACATAAATGGATCTAGGAGAACAAATGAACTTCTGTAATCTAATAAAGGTAAAAAAATCATCAACAAAAGTAGAGAAGCACAACTCCCAAAAATGATCGGACCTGGTATTTAAAGCTCTAGCCCGAGCCCACGAGCCTCAAATTTTGTCCAAACCCAAAAAATAACGGGCCGGACCAGGTCAGGCCATCGGGCTACCCAGCCCATGAAGAGGTCTATGAGTGCCTATCTAATCCTAATCAAAACAGACAGGTACTTTTTACCATTGAGGTGTAAGCACCAATGCGATAATTATGTAGCCAGTACTCAACATCACTTTAGCCATTACTCAGTTGATTTAGAGGATGTTTGCAACCCATGCCGGTTATCTGGAAAATGGTGATACATCAGCACCATGTCAGTGTTTTGAGTTTTGAAGTTATGTTAATTATTTGTTTGGGTTGTGGAAAATGCTGAAAAAACGATCCCGTCTAGGAAATTGGTAAGATATGTTTGATGTTTTCTTATTTAATGGTAACGGATATGGCAATAAAAACGCTAGGCGATGGCAATGGAATCAAACACTACATTGTCAAAGCCAACAAACTTCTATACGATATGAAATAGAAAGAGTAAGACGCATAGCAGGTATGAGTGTAAAATGCACGGTTTAATTGAGTTGACCATTTATCTAACACCAATCAAATTCTGACTCTTGACCGACTCGGATTTGAGATATTCATGGATTTATAATATGCTTAATTTAGGAAATTAGGGTCCATTGGATTCATAGTTAAAATCGAAATTAAAATCTCACAAAATCTGAATCGAAATGATCTTACTGTTTGGTTAAGATTGGAATCGGAATGGAAATGATATTTTATTTTCAGGGGCGGGGGCAGGTTTTAATTCCACCCGACTAAACAGTTGAAATATTCTCATTCCAAATAGGGGTGGAAATTTTCCCCGTCCCCGAGGGGTACCTGGGCTCCCCAACCCAATGGGGTCGGGGATGAGAGGTACCTTGGCGTGGTCGGGGTCGGGGATGGGGGTACCCCTAAATCCCCGATCGGGGATGGAGATAGGGACGGGGAAGTCAAGAACTTGAAAAAATACTAAACTAAAGTCTAAAACCCTCGACATAGAGAAGAGAGACTTAGAGAAGTTGAGAACTCTCAATTCGTCTATCTCTGGAACAGTTTCACTGATTTGCCTTCTTTCATCTTTGACTCTTTGTTGTTGAATCGCCGATTTGCCGACCGCCGTTGCCACAAAAGATTCAGAACCCTAGCTCCGTGCCTTCTCGAGTGATAGAGAATAGATAAAGAAGAGTTTCAGTCGTTAGTCCTTCTAACATTTGCCTATTGTCATTGACCTCCGTCGCCGTGACGCCATCACCTGTCAGACTCTCTCGTTGCCGATTTTAACTCTCCCAACGATCCTCTCTCTCTCTTAGTCTCAATCTCTCATTCTCTCTGTCTCAACCTCTCAGTCCATCGAGGATTCGGGTCTCCGACAGAAAATTCATCCAAATCGTAGTCGAGGATGGAGGAGAGATTCCTTTCTTTACCAGGGATCGAGGACAGCGGCAGAGGCTGATTTGGGGGTCGAGATCAAGAATGGGGAATGTAACCCCTGCCCCAAACCCATTCCGTTGGCATTCCTAATCCAAACCCTATTAGGATGAATCAAATATGCCCTTATACCCCTTTTACGGTTTGCCCGTATTTTATGTGCATGAGATCCGATATTAAATGGCAAAAGGATCATCTCATTGGTTGGCTTTGACACCAGACATCCTTGTGCATGCATGTCACGTGTCTTACATTAGGACCCTCTCTTTAAATGGATCCTACCTAATCCCACATTCAAATAGGCTCCACCAGAGAAATTTCATACACCAAAAAATCAATAATCAATTGACGTTGGGGTATCGTTAACCGTTTATGATATGCATATAATGATATAAATCATCATGATAGATTAAACGCTGATTTAACATCAAAAACATTTTGATAAAGATATTGATTTGGACAAGAACTTAAGGGCACTTTGAATCTTTGATAATTATATAAAGATACTGATTTGGACATAGAAAAATGCCCTCTATGTCATAAGTGGGATCTGTGCAAAATAATATTTATTTATTTTCTGAAATGCCCCCAACACGTTTCTTTTGCACGTGCTACAGTTGGTGGAATGTGGAATGTAACAAACTAACAATTAGTTCTTAAATAGTAGCAACATGTACTCCATTAATATATGTTGTTATAAATATTTTTAAAACTCGTGAAGTTAGGAATAATAAACAAATCAAGACATACAGGGCCACAGTGACAGTGGCGGGCCAAGAAAAGTAATAAAACATAGAAGAATTGTATCAAAACTAGACTAGAGACAATTAGAGAATAATTCCTCCATCATGAGTCATGACCGACTGGCTTCTTTTAACTGAAAGTCTGAAACTTCTAGGGGGAGGGAGAGCATGAGGGGTCCTCATCTCCAGTCCTCAATCAACACCTACAAACACTAATTCGATTAAGATACAAATTATTTTCTTAAATTTAGTAGATCAACAGGGGTTTCCATGTTTGCATTGCATATGACTCAGACCTCTTCACTTTATCACCAAAGAGGGCAACAGACCCCAGGTTCTATGATCAGACGGTCAAATAAAGGATGACAGGGAACCAGAAATATCAAAAAGAAATCATCATTTTGATGACATGGATTATTAGAAAACTGTTTTTTCATATTTTAATCATAAAATAAAAAACCCACTTCCTTTTTTTTTCTCTCTTTTCTGTTTTGGTGCTTGTCTCTTTTTGTTCCCCCAAAGGGACTGGTACTTTTTTTCTAAATTTTTCACAAATAAATAATAACATAATAACATGAACAAATATTTCTCTCAACTTTGCTCTTGCTCCTTTTCTTTCTCCTTTTTTTTGGTTTCTCAGATGGAAGTTACAACAAATCCCCCAACAGCATAGGTGGGCACATTCAATCTTCCCCCCTTTTTCCTTCTCTTCTGCTGAGTTGAGAATTCTGTTAAATACACAGCTGAACACTGTCCAATTCATGCTACAGATTCATTCAACCCTTTTTCTCTTTTCTTTTTTTCTAAACTCCAGCTTTTTCCTCTCTTTTATCCTTTTTTTCAAGGGGGGAGGGGGGAGGGAGGGGCTGCAAAGCCACACCAAAACTCCCATCCACCAAACCAAACTAATTTGATTTGGGTGAAAAGTGAGAACCCCACCTCCCAATCTCATGACTCATGGTCCACCTCAGATGGACTGTTTAGTTTCCTCCTCTTTGTATCTGGACTACTATGAGAAGAATGTGCAAATGACCCAACTGTTAAATCATCACTTTTATAGCTCAAGCATGCGGCATCTAGCACCCCAATTGGGCTATGGGGCACTGACGAAATTGAGCCACTACCAACCTTAACAAACCCACTAATCAATGACATATCCCGGATGAGTTCAAGACATTTCACCACTCTCTCCTGCAAAACCCAAAACAACAACTCATTCATAAGCTAATTGATCAGATTGACTAATAATCAATTAATCATAGCTGCAATAAAAGAAAAATTACTTGGGTGTACAGGAACCAACTTTACCTTTTCTACATGTGCAAAACAAGAAATAGCCTTCTCAATATCCACTGTTTTGGCTTCTCTACATACAGACATCGCCACTGCTGCAGCAATCTCAGAAGGTCTGTAATTCAAGAAGTCAATCCCTGCATTCAATTCCAACCGAGCACTGGATCAGGAGCCAGGATCTCCTCTAATACTGCTGTAAGCAGGAAAAAAAATTGAGAGAAAGAATTACCCTTCATTGTGCTTAAGATTAGTTGGATCGATCTTGAGATGCAGAGTCTCGAGGGAGGTTGATCATCGTTGATCTTAAAAAGGAAGTACTCTATGTAAGAGAAAGGAGTCACAGCTTGCATTCTCCATTTCAAGGTGCTCAACACAAGAAGCTCCATTCTCTGTATGGTTCTAGCTTCAAAGACGAACTTGGTTTCCCCTACCTGACATAAACCCATATGATCAGGATAATCGTTACAAAGGGGAAAAAGGAGAACATCTATAAATTATCTATAATAGACATCATTTAACTTGATTGATGCTTCACCTGTAAATCTAGAGATAGAGGCACTTCAGTCTCTTCCATTTTGGCTGCTAGAGATAAACAGGCTACAGCTAATAACTGCATCATCCAAGCTTTACCTCTCTACCAATAGCAAATACAGCAGAATAGAGATAATCAGGAACCGACATCAATAGTCCTAAAGAAACAGAAACATGTCCTCTTGGGTCTATTTCATGAACTTACAGGAAGCTCATATGCTGAAAGGAACCGATCTAAGTAATTTATGGATAAATAAGCACTCAAAGGTCCAAAATTGTAATAAGCATGCGCCTGTAATGAACCAAAACAATGGCATTAGTCATCACCACGAGGATAGGCATAATGCAATCCAGGAAAAGTAAATTTGCAGAAGACACAATAAACCACCTCCACGTAGCATCAACCAGAGGAAAGAACCCCAGATACAAAATGAAGACAGTTTTCTGAACTCATTAAACAACAAGAAAGAGTACCCAAATCTCCATTTAAAAAAGAAAAGAATAATGGAGACGGATCCCATTTTAGAAAATAGGACACTGCTAAGTATCAACACATCAAAATACAAGTGAAGCAAAAAGAAAAGTAGCCCAACAGACCGGTTACAGATAACGTATGAAGATCATAATAGAAAACCAGACTAAAAGAAAACCCCAGTACGCATTTCAGAATACAGTCGAATCATTTCAGAAGAGTAAAAAACGGAAACTCAATTGCATACATCCACGATAATCAAAAGATGAGAAGGAGAAGCAGAAATCCGTGTGCTCAATCCTAAACCCCCTTCGTCATGATCCATCAAAAAGCATCATTGCTAACCGATAAAAGAGGAAAAAGATCGAATACCCATTCCAGAAAACTGACGATAGACAAAACGGAAATAAGGAAATACTGAGAAACCCCCGTCTGCAAAAACCCATCACTGAACTCAGCAACCTACCTTCTGAATCCAGTCAATGGCCTCCCTCCTCACACCCAAGTCCAAGTCCCCTCTCCGCAACCTGCTCAAGTAATCATCCCTAGGCAAATGCTGGCATTCCCTCTCAACCATCAAACTCAAACACTCTTCACTCTGCAGTGGGAACCCAATCGAGAATTCCAAGCCACTAAAGCTCTGATTTTGATGATCGGTTCGATGGTCTTGCTGCTGCCAACCAACCCCAAACTCATTCTCAGCCCCGTCGTCAATATCTTCAAAACACATGAAACTATTGTTGTCTTCGGCACAGAGAAGGCTCGAGGCTGAGCAGTCGAAGCTAGGTACCATTCTAGAATCTCAGAAACCCAACCCAATAAATCTCATGAAATGAGAAGGCTAAAGCAGAGATTTATTCAGAAATTTATAAATGCAGAAGAGATTTTTTTTCCTTCAAACATAAAACCAACAAAAGATAAGAAAAAGAGGTACAGAGGAAACAAGCCTCAAGCCCAAGGTTGGCTTTGATGAGACTGTTGCAAGAGAGGGACTTATGTAGCAAATGAGTGTCCATTTAGGGTAAAGGAGAGAGATTGGGAGAGAAGGGCAAGGCTTGAGAAAAGAATATACATTTAACGCCTTTACGAGTATACGTGTTTGGGTTAATTAAATTTGATTTTTTCTTTTCTTTTTCCTTTTTTTTTTTTGCCCTTTTCTTCTTTATCTTTATCTGGTAGAGAAAACGAGATACTATTAATGATGATGAAATTATTATTCCGTGAAATCAAAAGATTGCATAATTTAGTTTCTTAATTATTATAAGATGTCCCGTACAAATATGATTCAGTAGGAGGACAAGCTGCAATGCTATGTATATGGGCTCCTTGTTCATGTTATTTACGGTGAAAACCAGTTCTTCTAACTTCAAAATAGCTTTCATTTCATGGCATTTTAGAACTGTAATGGCAATATGTCGTAACTACTTCAGATTAATCATTTTTTGTACATAAGAAAGAAGAGGAGGGATTTACATAAAAGAGTAGGGGTAAATGCGTAAAAGGGTAGTTAGAAGTGGACAAACTACCGCAGGATTGTTTTCTTCTCACCATAGAGACGCGTGCGCTCTCCATGTGACCAAAATAGCCGTTTCATTCATAAATTACAGTTATTACGGTGGGTTGGTCTTCTAACGCGTACCTTTTATCCAAATCATTACCCGAGTTCGACGCTAGATTTTTCCACCCTCACCTTGTTTTCTATTCTTTATTTACCAAAGAAATAAAAAATTCTCTTTATTCTACGAAGTTTCTAATAGTAACCCACAATGAAGCCCATCATGTAATCTGCTAATACATTATTGGACTTAGTAGGCAACCCTAGTTTAGGGCATTACAGAAACCACAGTGACCATTTTGTCCATTTAATAGTTAAGCCCGGTGTTGGTTATATTTTGATCCAAAATATTGGTTTTTAATTTCTTCATTTTTTAAGGAAAAATTACAATTTTTAATACCATGAATAATAATAATAATAATAATAATAATAATAATAATAATAATAATGATACGGGAGAGCGCACGCAGAAAATCTACATAAATTAAAGCAGACCTATTCTCTTTCCAATATTAATACCACGTGGAATGCATATGCCTTCACACTATTAATAATAATTGTAGTTCAATTTCTATGTATATAGAGAATATAGAGATAATAATGAAATAAATGGTTTTTGTTAACATATTTGTCCAACATTGTAGGTGTAGAATTTTTATTAATGATAAGCCGGGAACTACACGATTATCGCCACATGGCAACATGGCAGTTGATAGTGGCACTCTACCTTTAGCTGATGAAATAACACAGTGGCAATGTGCAATGCTATATTTTACCATTTGGATTTTACATATTGATGAAACTAATAATCACATTAGGCATGTCGGAAAAATGCCGGCACGGATATTTCATATTTCATTGATAGAAAACAGTGAATCAGTATGATAAATTGAGTGCATGTAGTAACAAAACCACCATAACTACAATTTTAATTGCAAATCCCATTCCAGGTCTTTTGGAATGGAAAATGTATTTGATTCTCTTTCTCTCCTCTTCCTCCTTTTATTTTATTCATGGAAAATCTACACTGCTGGAAAGGATTTGGCCAATCAAAACTCCTCGTGATTTTTTATGAAAACACTCCTGATTGATTATCACACTTATGATGCCAATTGATTGATTATAAGTTTTTCTGGTACCATGTCTTTTTCCGTTTTCCATTATCATAGTTGAATCCTTTTTAACACCCTGTTTTATCTAATGCATGCCACAAATGAAAAATGGGCCAAGGCCCACTTTGGCCCATTAAACCATTACTAAAACAAATACATTCAATTTCTCTAACTCACACTACTATGTGTACAGGTTTACATACAGTATCTATGTAATGCAATACAAATACCAAAAAAAAAAGAGTTGGGAATCGCTCAAAACAAGAAAGAGATTTTCCTTTAGCTGTTTTGTTTCGTTGGAAATCGAATTTTCTCTACTAAAGATGGCAAAAAGCGTATAGTTTTAATGGCCTCAACGAAATGCCCAGCGGGATCTCCGATTAGACTTTAGAGGACGAGATTTCCGACCGGTTGTGCTGTCCGATGACCGGATTTTGTGGGTCATCATCCCCCTTGGCCTCATATGGGTTCCGGTGGTGATACGAACAATAACTCATTTCACAACTCCCAACAAAATATTAGTTCTAGTCTAGGGGAGAGGGGAGGGAGGGAGTTGACAGTCTAATCCATCCAAATTGGATGTACAACTACACACAAGGAAAGGTTTTTTTTAGTTACCAAATCAGAAGGAAAAAGTTGAATAAAAAAATAGGGAAGCCCGGTATTGGACAAATTGAAGGGTATAGCTCTTCTTCGTGCTAAATGAATCACAAGAAGACACCTTACACCTTCCTTTGAGTTTTTTTCACAAAAATGGAGCCTGTTTCCTTTAAGGGGTTTTAATTAATTAAAAGTACAAATATTTTGTTTTTTTTTTTCAATTTAATTAGGTCTTTGTGTCATGAATTTTATTTGCATTAGCGTAAATGAAGGGGAGTGCATTTGGGTTTCGCGTAAATTTTTTATTTACTTTTGCTTCAATTTTGGCCTGCTCTTATTTGTTTGCACAAAGTAAATCAATGGTGGTCTCCACTTTATATGTAAGAAAATGAAGTAGGAGGAACGTTGGGGTCTGTTTGGTTCACAGTTAGAATCGGAATCGAAATTTTTCGAAATCGGAATGGGAATGGTCTATTCCCATAGTTTGTTTGATTCAGATAGGAATGGAAATTGGAATAAGGAAGAATAGGATCTCATTCCCAAAGGAGGGGTAAGGAGTGACCATTCCCTCATATAGGAGAATGTCATTCCAACAGGAATGGGAATGGGATTCCGATTCTACTCAACCAAACAGTTGGAATAGGAATAGTCCATTTCAATTCAGATTCCAGACCCCTATTCCCGTGAACCAAATGAGGCCTTATTTATTTGGAAAGGGAAGAAGGGAGGAAGAAAAAATGATATAGTCCCCACTTTATGTGAGAGAATCAAGATGAGATGGGAGGAAAGTGGTGCAAATTTCACATTTATTCTGATGCAGTATTTTCACTGACTGAATGTAAATGATGTTGTCCCCACCATATGAAAGAGAATCAAATTGTGAGCAAGTTGGTGCAAATTTTACATTTATTTTGATTTTAAATTTATACTTCCAATGAATACAAATGAGACAAAAAGTGTAAAATTTGCATTAATTAGAAGAACAAATCATGGTAACAAATAAAAAGATGTCAAACTCAGATGTGCACGGCAAGTACATAACAAACGGAGTAATTAAGGATGAGAAACTTCAGCAATAACATGAGTCGGGTCGGGTCGGGTTAGAAACGAGTGAAAAATGTTACCTGAAAAGGCCCGTCTAGGTTTATCCATTCCGGATGGAAGGCCTGGAGATCCGCGGGTTAGGTTATGAGTAAGGGCGTCAATGGAGTGGTTTTGGACTTGACTCCGTCCAATCCAAAATCAATTTGGACGGACCAATAAGATAAATTAGATTGGATCAATCCGATTCAAAATATTTATTAGATTAGGTTAGACCTGGTTTGTCTGTAATAAATTTATATTGGATTCGATGAATTGGGTTAAGCCAATCTTTGATTCATTTATATAAGATAAGAATATAGATATCAATAGATTGGATTTGAATTAAAATCAATCTAAATTAAAACGAATTTGAACATATTAGATGGTCCAAACATTGAATTGGACCGGTCCAAAATATTCATTCATTAGATTGTATTGGACCTGGTCTATTTGTGATGGACTCAGATTGGATTAGATCAGACTAGGCCGAATCCAGTCCAATTGACACCCCTAGCTATAAGTTGATGCCATACCAAAAAACTTATTAGTGTGCAAATTAAGCTTTTGTACTCACGTGCAGGTTCATTCTCACGTGAAAATGCATTACATTGGAATTGGAATCAAAATCCCTGTGATCAGAACTGGAATCGCTGATTCTCCCGGGCTAGATGGAATTCAAAATTGAGTTAGATAGAACCGGAATCTTTTTCGTCCAACCAAACGACTGGAACACGAGTGAATCATTCCAATTTAGATTCCAAACTCCTATTCCCGTAAACCAAACGAACCCATAGGCCATAGAAATGGGATGATTTAGTAGGGGTTGAGGTAAATATGTTGTAATTAAGATGAATGTTCTCGTTAAATACGTGTCTTGCTTAATCAGAACAATCCACGTGTATATCAACAGTCCATAAATGCTTGAAAAGGGAAAGATTTATTAGTGAGTTGGAACGGTCAGACCTATCAGACCACTGATGCTTATGAATTATGATATCAGAGCGATATGATTGGATAGCGCGTATGGAGCAAAGAGTAAAGAAGTTACGAGGTCCGGGTCATTCTGGAAATATTACAAACCCGACATGACAAGGAAAGAAGTTACGAGGTATTGATGCAAAATCACAAACTCATCAAATTGGGGCTTGAATGTTGATCCGACCCGAATGTAACCAGGTTATGAAGGCAAGTGGCAAGGGCAATTGGCAGGTCTGAGTCAAGCCGGGTCGTGTGGGAGTGAATACTGAATAGTTATGACTTATGAATGAAGGACACGGACCGTCAGACCGGATGGCGAACGAACATGACCCGCCACGTGAGGGTGGTTAAAGGGTGATCAGGGGCAAAAGAGGAAAAAGATAAAAGAGTTACTGTTGATTATTGAGGCCCGTTTGACATCGTTCCTGACTTATTTCTATTCTTCTCCCTGAGAATTAACCGATTTATTTGGAAAACTGTTCCTGGAAAATGTATTTTCCTAATGTTTATTCCAATTCCAATAAATACAAAAAGAAACAAATACAAGACAGACATCAATGAAAAAAGGGTTATAGTAGATAAGGGCAACTTTTGGCCCCTAATATTAATAAAAATAATAAATTTAATAAAATTTCAAAAATAAATTAATTTTTTAAGAATAATATCAAAAAAATTTGTTTCATCATGAAAAAAACATTTGTTTATCAAT